CTACAATGACCTGTGTGCCAGCATGTGGTTCACATATTTGTTATTATTTCTGGAGAAAGTTGTTAATATACGAAGCGCAGTGGCCGGTTTAATTATGCTCATTGGACAGGTTTGCACTTTGTTCGTTCTACTTCATGGCTCGCCTGATTCATGTTTGATTTAGCCCAACACAGTGGGCTATGGCCGATTGAAGTCTCCCGGTGTTTGTGTGGAATATATCCAAAAGGCCCGTCAAACATCGTAGATTTTTCAAGACCACGCTGTGGTGGTGTCGGGAAATGAATCCGCTGACACGCCGCGGTACGCTTGTTTTTTGAGGAACAAGTCTGAAATCGTTGTATTCTTTTAGAATACGCTAATACTTGAATACTTGACCAGCAGCTTTATGTGTCTTCGACATTCGTTATCACGCCATCGATGAAGCGCTGGCGAATTCTCCATTCGACTCGTTGTTGCGCTCCCCGAGCACCCTACAGGCGTACCATGGGGTCTATCCACCTCACTGGTGCCTCCGCAGTGTTCGCTTGCGCGGAAGAATACGCTGATATTTCAAGAAAATTGCCTGTTTCTCCCATTGTTGTCCCATACCAATCATGAGTTTGGCACAGCTAAATTTGCTACGTCTAGTTTGAGGTCGCGTTTCGTAAAATGTTTTGGGGAGGTAGTTAGAACGCTGGTGGCATGCAGTGCAGTGGATGATGTTTCTCGGATTAACGTAGTTCTAAATGGGAATATCCTAGCAACATCGTGATCATTACAACGTAGTTCAGGCAATTCGGCTACTTTTTTTTTTCAGAGCACTGATGCGTTAAGTACAGCGTTGATTGGTGTTGTAAGCGACTGGACTTCGGCACCACTCTGCTTACAGAAATGTGGACAACGCAAATCGTGGCATGTCGTTGGTAAGGAATTATCTTTTTTTCTCCAATTTTTTTTCCCCCGGGAAACACGGGTGACTTGCCTTAGGAACGGAATCCATTCCAGTTGTGGAGATTTCTCATATGTTTGTGAGGTGTTGCAGGCACGTTGCTAGTCACGTTTTCGTTCCCGTTCATTTACAACAGATGTTTTTTGTGCAATAATGCAACAACGGACTGGGCATTTTTGGCTTGGTATGCGCCGTTTGTGATGGTATTTCAAATTGGATGGGCTGCAGTACAGGTGCTTATTGGCGTTTGATCTTTGAAATCTTTGCTTTCCAGTTAGTTACCATTTCACGCACTGAGTTTCTTTTTGCAGATTTCTCATTTGGCTTTGTTGCCGGAACTTACAAGTGACGACAGCCGTCGAACAACTATGAATTCTGTGAGGTTATTTTTCCAAAAAAAAAAATTAATTTCCTTCAGAATTGCAGTACCTGTAAGCACAGAAATCCCTGGGAAATTGTGTAATTGAAAGGTGGCTTCTCAGCTTTTTCTAAACGTCGAGCGCTCAAAAAGTTCACTTGTTGATCTCTTTCAGCCGTGCTTTTTAGCATAAAAATTGTATAGTTATTTTGTATGCATTTTATGCATGTATCGTTACAGGTACGGGTCGACTGTAGTTGCAAATTTGGTTAATTTTGCTGTGATTTCGTTACTGCTGCATTTCGATGATGCTGGAAGTGCGATTGGTCCGAATGATCTTGCGCATTTTACTGCAAGTTTCCTGTTTTTTCCCAAAATTGTTGTTGCCTGACGAATAGGCCTGAACAGTGGGCTAGTTTGCTCGAAGTTTAAATTATTTCACGGATTTGATTTTTAGACTTTGACGGCACACCACAAGCATGAAATGTTTAAAATCTATTTTATACAC